ATTGTGGTGCACAGTTCAGAATAAATGTTTTTCAAAAACCATTGCATCTTTTTAGTAAATGTTTATTTCCAAAAGAAATTTCTAGAAGTTCAGAACAGTAAAATTCCTGCTTTTTAGAATGAATTAGAAGATAACTCTTTATTACGTAGTTAAACTAAAATACTCTTTGAGAGTTAATATATAAACTCTTAACACCCAGTGTTAAATTATCAACTCCAGACAGATTTGGTGTTTAACACTAAATCAGAGTTAACGTACCAACTCTCCAAAAAGAGTTAAATTAACACTCTCTGGTGTGGACCCATATAGACACTTTAATAGTGTTGAAATCAAATCCGACAGTGTTAATTTGGACATGCTGGATTTGCTGTGTAGCTGTTTCCTAGTTTACAGTTGGAGTTTTTGGTCCCAGTTTCTAGTTTACAGAAAGTTTACAGTTTACAGTCAAAATAAAGCTGCCTCTTTGAGTTTACTTCCCATTACTTCCTGCATTTGGGTCCTACATCCTGCCCACCACGCAGCAAAGCTTGACACAGTCACATATTTTCATGCAAGTTGTCCAAATATGCCTGTTCAGTTAACTTAAATGTTTTTTTATGGACCAGCATTAGAGATTTCTTTCATATTTCTTCATAAACTAAACCAGTAAAAGGTCCAGAGATTATTCCAAGTGTGTTGGGAAGCGTTGTTTCCGTGAATCATACAACAAAGATTTCTCTCTTTTTCTAAAGAAAAACTCTTTTCGCAACATTTAGCTGAGTGAAGAAAATTCTCCAGGAGTTAGGTTTACCAGCCTCGACATTAGAAAGGTCATATTATAAATTATTTATATATTGCGGTTAAATATTTCAGTCGTTTGGATCACACTCTCCCAATTACACTTAGTCCAGAATCATATTTGTTCAAATACAAGTCTGCACTTTAAGGGCATATCACACCACATAGCTATAACTGGATTTTTATTGTGGATAACTAAAATAAAAGTTGCCAGTGTTCAAAATATATGGACCTCACTATACACTATCTCTTAAATAAATGTGGTGTCTTACAGTTGGCCAGCTGAAGTCTCGTCTGTTCTTTCTGTTGGCTCGGAGTGGCTCGTGTTTTCGATTTAATATAGGTCAACTTCTTTGGTTCCAATCCACCTGAAAGGATGAAATAAAACTAATTTTAGACATTGTTTTCTCAATGTTCTCACTCATGTCAAGAACAAGACTCAAATGTGGAGTTAGAAGAACTGCTTGACGCTGACAGGCTGACGTCTTCAAAGAGAGCACGATTATCATCCTGAATTCAAAGTGGCAGCAGATCTAAGAAACGCTAAAGGAGCTGCAGCTGACATCCAGAAAGACGGTAAATGTTTGGCTCAAACAGCCACCTCACATGTGAAAAATAATGCAAATGAAGACATGTTTTTCAGATAGGGAGTGACAGTTTAGGATGCTTAAATAAAACTGTTCTGACTGTGGGATGTCCTGTGTAGACAAACATTTAAATATGCATTTCACCTAAAAACAGTCAGAGACATTAACTGTTCACTTATTTGCTCCTCTGGACAATGTCTAACCAAGCTAAATGGTCCATATGTTAAGCAATCTGAGGTATTTTTTATCTATACAAACTAATTCAACTATGAGTCCTTTAAAAAAGTTATTGTTTCTCCCTCATCCTTCACCTGCTTTTAATTTTTCTCTCATAGTCAGCATATCTGAAATTTGTCTATCTTAAAAGATGGTCCTTCATTTTGATCCAATTCATAAGCTCTTTGTATTAAAATTAAACAGTTTTTCTTAAGAAATATGAGGAAAAGGAGGTTCTCAACTGTTTGCTTATCAAGGATGCAGGTTTAACATATCCTCAGTCTCAGGGCATCAAATACTGACTTGGTGTCTGAATAATAAAGAGACAAAGTCCAAAACCCATTGCTCCCTGATAAGGAGGTTTGTCCTGGTGACAAATCTGGAACTTACTTTAAGTCCTCCAACTTTTAAATATGGACCCTATGAAAGAGGACCTGTCACAGTCCTTGGATTTTTGTTATTTTGTGGTTTGGAATTCCAGGTAAATATTTTTATTCTTACTACAACTGTTTTAAAGGTTTGACTTCTGTGTTTGGCAGATTTCTGGTTTCCTGCATTGATTTCAACAATCTAGTAGATCACAAGCTTTATTTCCAGTGGTTGTTCTAATGATTAGTTTCAGTTTTGCATCCTATGTTTTGGTTCCTGGTCTTTTGTCTTTGTTTCTATTAAGATTCCCTCAGTGTTTTCCCTTCTGTTCATCCCTCTGTCACATCTTTCTGTCTTTGTCCTCCTGTGTTTCCCTGACTTTATCTTGATATTTAGTGTAGGTCTTCTAGCCTCCATTATCAGTAAGTTTCCTTGGGTACTTGTTATTATTCATGTCCCTATCAATCTCCTTTGATTACTTCCTGTTTTTAATTAAAAAGTTTGTTTCTTTTGTTTCCTGTGTTAATTTTGCATCAGCCTCTCTCCCTGATTGGTTTCTCCGCTACAACCAATTTCTCACCGTAAAGGGGTTACTGTTAGGAATAAATGTATTTAACTCAAATCATATTTGATTTATAAACTATAAAAAAAAGGGTTTTGAGCATCTAAACGTAATCAGCAAGTAAAAGCTAAAGTAAAAGGGGATTGGGGGGAAACAAGGAAAATAAAAAAGGAACAAATGAGTTGTGAACTATAGTGTGATGTGGTATTTATGGTATCCCTTTGGTGTCTGCTTATGTAGGTCTTTGGCTATGCAAAAATGCCAACAGCGTGTGGTGTTAGGTAAAGTGCTGACTGGTTGAAAAACTGGCTAAACCAGTAAGGGAATGGTAGAGTTCACCATGGAAAGAAAAGGGAAAAAAAGTGCTTTTAATTTCAGCTGAAAATCTTAATAACTCTGCCAAAGATAGCACTTCAAAATGATGAATGAGCTGTAATTAATATTAGCTTATATAAGTAACTTGTTAATTTATAAAGTCAGCCATCAAAAGTTCTCATTTAAGCTCTCGTTTGATTAAAAGTTACCGCCTCAAAATGTAAACCTGCTTCTTTCTGCCTCGGTGTGAAATCAAGTACTTGATTTCACAACATGAGTGTTTTTCCTTTTTCTACATGCTGTGTCATTAGCATACTGAGCAGGCCATGTGTGCAATATGCTCTCAGTACCATGATAAAGGCTCCACTTGTTGTAACGACACCGTGATCGTTTCCAGCAATCTTTTATATAAAGGTAAATATTGAACTTTGAATCTTCAATTTCCCCGGTAACCTTGAACAACGCAGAGAACGTGTGGATAAATGTGAGTGGATCTTCAGGAAATTTCCTTATGTGCTAAGTGCTCAATAGATACATGACTAATGAATTCCCTTCAGCAAGATTTCCTCTGGATATGTCTTTTGTAAAGGAAATGAGCAGTAAATGTCAAGAATAAAGCCTGTTCTTTAAGAGGCTTTAAAAAGCAAGATCATCTTTTTAAATCACAGTGCCTACTTAGACCAACATTAAAGCCACTGACAGGTGAAGTGAATAACACTGATATGAAGAAGTGTTCTACTGGAAAGTCTTAGGTCCTGGGATTCACCTGGATTATATTGTACCACCCATTAAAATGATTTTTTTTTTAAATTTTGGACAATTGAATAAGTACCTAATTTTTACCAAATTATTTTGTTGTTATTCTGCCTTTATTTCATAGCATTTGGTTTTATTTACTAATGTCTTAGAAATCTTTGATCTGGTGCAGGAGCCTTAAAAAAACAAGGGGCACTCCCTGGTGACAGGAATCGATTTAAGGATGATAATTTGCCAAATGACAACAAAAATACTGCTGAGGAACAGGTTGAGGATACCCACAAATAGTCCAAGGTCCTCACCTGTCCTCTAAATTTCCTATATCCCAATCCGCTTGTGTGCTAACACGATGGAAATGCATCCCTTTTAGATCCATGTCCTCACAGATAAGAAGTCTCAACCACTAACCATAAGATATCAAGACAGTAGATTTGTGTCCAAAAAGTCTTGACCATCAGGACACAGAAAAACAAACAAACCACAACTGAGACATATCAGAAACTTTTAAATAAAAAAAAGAAAGCCATTGTATTTGTTGCCAAGACACAGGGTTAACCCTCTGAGGTCTGAGTCGTCATTGGTGAAGACTCAAACCCTAATCCTAAACGTATTCTATCATAATATGTCATTTTTATCATTTAAAAAAATGTCAGGAGTAAAAAAAACAAAAACTAACATCCATCAAACTTTTTTCATGTCTTTCAAAAAAATTCCTTTTTACTCTGTTATAAAACACAGACTTATGATTACGCTGCATCCGCAGAGTGAAAGAGATCAACATGGTGATCAGACCAAAGAAAGTTGATGATGTTTGGTGATGTTAAAAAATCTGGTGACACGAAGTGGGCGGGACCTAAGGTAAAGTTTTCACACCTTCTAGTTGAGAAACTGAATGGCTACCAATGATATCTCAGGATACTGCTTACATATGACCTGGTAGTAAATACGATAGATTGTTACCTAGGCAACTGTGGCCTTGAATATCTGATCGTGACCAACTGACAGTTTCCAAGCGATGAGACATGAGTGAATCACTTCCAACATAGACACATCTAAAGGGGTTTGCGTCATAACTAATGATGACGTTTACCTTAGAGGAGTTAACCTCTTTACATTCACTGTGTCACCAGTGACCTGTCTGGGGTGATGGTTGGGTTTTATTTTAGCCACATGCTAAACAGAGAAATTACTAGACAATATTTTACAAGTTCCATAAATTTTGGAATTTGCAGTTTTCCAGATAAAAGATTTTCCATTTGGATTTGGGCACTTCCAAACAGGTGGGATTTCCACAGAAAAAGCCAAATGTTAGCCAAAACCCACTCTAAATGGATTGCTGGTGATCTGGTGGATGTTACATCAAGTATAAGATAAGTGTTTGTTACATAGATCAAACTCGGAACATTATACCAGCAACGCTACAAGTAAGAAAGATTAAGTAAGAGAGCATAAAAGTTTCCATCATTACTATAAGCTTTATTCCTGCAGTCCAAAGTTCAAAGCTGTACCTTTGGTCATTTTACCGTACCTTGTGGTGCTCTGGGTAGCCTGCTCTGGGCTTCACACACACTGGCAGAGGTCATAATGGGTTCAGACGGGGTTTGGATGGGCTGGAGGAAGGCCACAGTGGGGAAAGGCACTGACTGGATATGGGTCATGGAGGAATCGGACAGAGAGTTTGGCACCCCTGCATGGCTGCCGTCCTTATAGCTGGAGGGAATTCTCCACCGGGGTAACGGGGAAGGAGATGCGTCCTCGCTGGAGGAGCCAAGGACACTGGGAGGACTGAGGGATTGCTCTGGGGTTGATGAGGATTTGGGGAGGAGGTGCAGGATGGAGGAGAAGAAGGAACAGGATTCAGGAAGGGGGATGGTCCCGATTCCACTGTCCAACGTTCGCATCTTGCAGCCGGAGCCTGCGGCACAAGGAGAACAGCTGAAGTGGTTCAGGGTGGAGGGAATAAAAGGGAGAACATCAGGAATGAGACAGAGGGGTGACCATGGTTGAAGTGGCATTAAAGTAACCTTTAAAATAAATATGTACGGTACATGAATATAGATACTAACAGGCCTATTGTTAATCATTTATCTGGTACTCTAGCTGACTTTGTGTCTCCAGGAGCTGTTACAGTGAGGGCAGCTTTATCAATCAATAATAATGGATCTTCTCTGCAGTATCATAACTGATTCTCTCGTGCCTCCTTGTTATTCCTACCACATATCTTGACTGTTTGCCTGTTTTTAGCCGCTCGATCCTTGTGTTCTGGTCATTTGCAACACATGGTTAGTCTTTTCCTTCCTCTCTTTCACGGTCTAACTTTCAAAAGCCTTAAACGCCAAGTCGAAAAGCAGTCCAATCTAATTATATAAGTGTGAGGCAGGGTAATGGTTTCTTTGCTCTCCAGCAGAAAATGACTCAGCCAAATCAGGTCCACTTGAACCACTGCTTTCATTTTACAGATATTGTTTGATGGCTCTGACTGTTAGCATGCACTGGTCACATGGTGAATATGAAACGCACACAATGGCATGTGACATGAAATACAAATGCACGCTGCTGGGGATATTTAATTAACAAAATATTTGAAATCTTAAACAAAAATGGTTCTGTTGTATGCTTTATTTAAACGGGTGTAAGGTTAATTCTTAAATGTATTAAGCACTTTTTGTTGAAAATATAAAGTAACTTGAAAAATGAGCCCTTTTCCACAAATATTCAAAGGATGTAATGCTTTGGTAAGCAGCATTAGCTAATATTAGCTTATAAATGTAGTACACTAATCAGTAAAATCATCAAAGCACCAACTTCCAGCACAGCAAAGACAAACTCGGAATATAAATTAAAAAATAAATACTGGTGTTGCTTCAAGTAGAAATTTGCTAGTAACAGTAGTAAGAAAGTAACCTAAGTTTAGCTAGATAGCTACTAAATCAAGCTATCAAGGAATCTGTTTGGATTAGCTGATAAGCAAAGGGTGGGCAATTATTTTACCCAAGTGGCCACATGAGAAACTGGGACTGTTGTGAAGGGCCACACCAATAAGCTGAACTCAGTTAAACTCAGTAATAATGCTATCTCTTTATAAGCTTATTCACAACAGTGAACAACAGTACCAGTTTCTCATGTGGCCCCTTGAGACAAGGAAATACCCATGTTTGAGATAAGATAAAATTAGCTACCTGGCCAAATAAGGATTTGACCATCTGGGAAAAGTACAGTATCATGAACATGATATTAGATCATGGAGGATGTTTACCATTAAATGTAATGCTAAGTTGTCTTTCCTCTTAATGAGAAAGGCAGTTAATATTAGTTAACACTAGTATTTCTGCTAACACAGATGAATTGCTAGCTATGTCACACAGCAAACTGTTGTCTTAAAGTGGTCAGCTAAGTCATCCAATTACTTATGTTAGATGCTATGGCTAGATGGCTAACCACATCTTGCTTGCTAACGTTACTGCTCACAGAATCTGAGTGGAAACGTTAAGTGGATGACTTGGCAAATAACTTCATCAGCTAACCTAATCCATGATACTTACTTGCATGTAAGGTCAGTGTTGTTTTTAATCCATCAGTAAATTATGTAATAGAATGAAGTAAAGATTTATAACATTTATGTTATACAGTAATAGCCAGAATGATGGCAATTTTCCAGGAGGCTGTAACTTAGCTACACAACTTAACTCACAAGTAATTTTTTAAAACTAACTATAGAGATATCCAGGTATTTACTGGTCTCTCAGTTGTTATACAAGGTTCAAACAACCTTCAGTGCATTAACAACAAAATGCATAACTCATTTAAGACTAATATATGCAGAAATTGCACTGGATTTTTTAGCTTTTGCATCACTGTTCAGCCACATTTGCCTCAGAGAACCATTTTTGTAAATCATAGGAAACCAAAAACAACATGAATCACTCCAGTCACCCATCTAGCATGCACATCATTGAAATAAGAAAATATTTCTTCAAGCTGTTGTCATGCAGACTCATGTTTTAATATGTAGCCTGAAGCATGAAGCCTGTAGGCAATCACACTGTGGAGCTGAGGCAACAGCTGTGCCCCCTTTATTAATTAAGATGTGCACGCATGAGACTTTTGAGTGCTCCTCTGGGTTTCTTCAAGCCTGTTTTTCTTCATTTTTTTCTAATTCTGATTTTAAGCTGTTGTGCCCCGATTAATTGAGAACTTAAAATGATCACATTAAAAGTCATGCTATGTTTGAAAATAGACAAATGTGGAAAGGGGAATGGTAAAACCATTATCAATAATGCTGAAAAACATTAAGTTACATTTTAACTAGAAGCTCTGGAAACACCTCAGTAGATTGCAATTCTTTAAAGTTACAGCCTCAGCTGGAAAACATTAACATCGATTACAGTCATCCACTGCAGCTTCCTCATATTAAATAATAGCTTTAAGTAGCTATGTTTAAATCAGCCAACTTGTACTCATGCAGCAACAAACAAGAACAAATAATTGAACTGTGGAGAAGTAGGACAGAAATGTTATTGATTATTCTGGTCTTAGGTTGGAAGTCTTCTTTAGAAAGGCAGGATCACAGAGGCTGAGAATTGATTGCTTACAACAAGCCTCAGCTGTATTGAGAACAATCAATAGCTGCTTAATGTCACAAGATAACAGTGCAGTACTTAGTATTTAAAAATTATATAGCATACACATAAAAATAATATGACATGGTTTCTGTTTAAGCAGAAAAGTTTCACTTAAAGTGTCCCTACTGTGCTTTTTCCAGCTCTGTATTTTCATTTTTTGACTCTACTGCAGTAGCTTTGCATGATTTACAGTTCAAAATAATCCTTTACTCACTATAGAAGTTCCTGACTTCATACTTCAAAGCCAACCATTTTAGCTCCTCCCCTTTTAAGCAAACTGATTGGCTGTCACTTGACAAATTATTTTAGTAGTTGGTTTGGACTAATGTGGGTCCTGATTACAATATTAGGGATATCTTCTTATTCTCTGTGACATCATACAGAGCCAAGAACAGAAAAAAACCTGCCAGAATTGGAGCATTTAATGGAGTCTAAAATATT